CTTCTAGCAGTTATAGTAGTTTTAGCTTCTTTAACTTCTATAGCTCTACATGACAAAAGAGATTCAAAATTAAACAGATACAACAGAGATGTACTTGCGGAAAGTAGAAAAGTGGAAAAACTGGAAAGACCAAACCCGGTGGTCATTTAGTTACGCCAATAAATTCCACTATTTATTTAAACGCATTATATTCTCTCTCTCTCTCTCTCTCTCTCTTACATTTTTTTCGTTACATTATTTACAATTTTAACTTGATTTAATTTTGTGAGACATATATGCGTGTAGTAAAACAATTGTTTGCTAACCAGTATAGAAATAAAGGATAAAGAATCAATTGATCAATTGAAACCATTGACAATTGCATCAATTTTAACGGATAATGTTAAAAATTAACAACATCAGCCACACACAGCGTGTCAAATATGTTTGCCACAAAATATTTTGAAATATCTTATATAAGTATACGCCGTACAAAATTGCATCTTTTTAAATAACATTTATTCTTTAAACGTTGTGTGTTGTATTAGTTTTGGTAATTTTTAAGTATATCTGAATGAAAATTAAATCATGAAAACGGAGATTAGACGCGCCCTTTTTAACTTTACCTACAATATTTATACCATGCAACTTTAGTGAGTCCAATCAGTTACAGCTTACAACTACATATACATGTATAGATATCTTCTACCGAGAAGTATTAGATACATAATATATGTAGGGTTCAATAGACCTGTCACTTTATTTAATCCAATATATAGTTTTCTATTATCTATACTATTGTTATACTCCATGATTTTATATTATTTGTATATCGATCAAAAATTAATTATTATAAAAAAAAATAAAAATGTAAGGACACTAGGTGATAAATGTGATGATAACCATAATTTGCGCATAACTCTGTAATAATAATACAATAATTTAACGGTGAGCTGTACCTTGAATAAAGTTACAATATTAAATATGATAATTAATATTATAATTGTTTTTTATGACTTGTGACAAAAGACCTAGTTTTTTTTTTCTCGCAGAGATTATACTGTTAAATTATTATAATTTCCTTATGTTAATATTATCATTATTTTTCCAGTCAATTTACGACTTTAAAGGACACATGCATTGACATTCTTTTAACAATTTGCTCGCTTCAACGATTTATTAGACAATCATTTGACTATAGAAATGTATTTAAAAAAAAATGTTAGTCTTTTATGTATACAGTGCCTGATGAAGGGCATGTAAGATGTGTATTGTCGAAAGTCGCGTGCAACAACACATGGTTTTAATTTTCGCCTGTCTAAAACGCACACAACTATATTTCTCACTAATAAATTATCCCTACTAGAACTGATATATCTGTATATATATATATATATATATATGTAAGGTAACAACACGTGTGTTTTATTGGTGGAGCCTAGTTATACAAGTACCTTGGATACTGTGTATAGTAGTGGACTGTTTTCGACTCATTTTGAGGAAAATTTATTCAGTGACACAGTAAATATTTTGAGAGGATTTAACAACAACCAACATATGGGAATAATGTGAGCTAGGCGTGTGCCATGACCTTTCTAAATCTTTTACATATATTGAAGAGAAGCACAGTATGTTATTAATTTACACATTCACACTTTTATTGTTTGGCAAATATCTGTATGATGTTTCAAATAAATACCTAAAATATATATGTAAAAAAAAACAACCATGTGTTTTTAATATTTAAAACTTTATTATAACCAATGAACTCGTCCAAGTTAAAAAACTATTATGCACCTTTAAGCTCTGTATACAAGATACAAGGTACAATATTTTTTTAAATATATACCAAGAAAAAAACCCTCAATGTCATATACAGAATCTTATTCTTTGTTATTTTATAGACATCAATAAAGTTGTTTTTTAACTTAAAGCAACGGCAGTTATGAAATTTTATATTTTGCGTGAAAATAAGGGACGGAGATTTTTACTTCGTTACGCAGTTTTAACTACTAGTATTGTAAATTCTTCACCAGTCAATTACCTTGTCAGAAAATACGTATAACAATAATAATACTTGATGTATTTAAATATTTTATTTTGTATAATATTATTTAAAAAACAATAATTTTTTTTTTATTAATAAATATAGAGGGATTTTAGTTTAAGGGATTTCAAGTAAAATTGTAACAACTCTTTTTCGTTGAAGGTTACAGTGCCAAGAGTTTAAAAGTTGTATGAAAAAAAAAGAAAAAAAAAAACGAAAACGAAAAGGAAATATCTTTTAAAGTATTTTCCATATTGACATAAGACCGAGTACATTAAGATAACAATAATACATATTTCAAACTGGTAAACTTATTTTTTTTTTGTTTCGATGGCCCGAATTTTCTTTTTGGACAGTAGTACCGATTCGGGTTTCTCAGGGTTATAAACAGAGTAGTAACACAAATTTTAAACTGTAACGGTTAAAAAGGATTAACGTAAGTTTACTCCAAAAGAGTTTAAATTCATTGTTATTAGATTCAGATTCACCATAAACTTATTGTTGAGGGTTACGTCCCAGAAAAAATTTGTTCTGACTAACTTGAACGAAATATTTTAAAAAAAAAAAAAAAAAAATGTATAATCTTTTGCCAAATAATAATAATAATAATAATAATAATAACAATAATAATAATTATAACAATAATAAATAGAGATACACATATACGTATATGTAGATATTTTCGAGTTATAATAAAAGAGCATGACGAAGAATGTGCTGAAAGCGTACGAAAATTGAGAATCCCTTTAGCAAACAACGTGAATTATGCTTTAACTGTACAAGTAGTAGTGTTTATGCTGTTGTAGTATATAAATATATAATATATAATATATAATACATAATAATAAAATAAATGCGCGTGTGCATTACTCGTCGCAATTATAATTAATCAGCTTACGGGGATCGGGGCTCAAGATAGCCGCAACAAAATTACGAAATTCATTGCCAATTAAAGTTTTAAATTGTCTGTTGCTCTAGCCGGAAAAGACTACAATATACACTCAATATACAATTAATATATATACGTCTACTTTTACTCTATTCGGACAAACTCAAGTCCCATAATTAGATAATTACTTTATTTTTTTTTTTTTTTAAATAAAAAAATAATAATAATTTTATCAGTTAAAATACAAATGACTAGGAAATATTTACGACAACGATCAATATTAGTCATTATACTAAATAACTAAACTACAACAAATACCTTAAGGACATATTTACGTGATGATTAAGTAATGTCCACACTAATTATCCATACTAAATGTCTTTATTAATTAAGGAAGACCTAATAGTCAAAGTGTACTTTAGATAGTTATGTTATCCTGCCTATTTTTTTTTTTTTTTTTCAAAGTTTTGTTTAAAATTAACATTCATCTATATATTTCCTACAGGTCAATTAATACAGAGACTATAATTAATTATTATATTTAAATATACAGATAGTATTTATTTTTATATTTAATTTGTTGTTAATCATTATTAAATTGGAGTAAGATTCGAGGTGATAGTGTGGATTTAATTAATAACTTACATCAGATTATATTTATTTATCGCAAATCAATAAAAGTTTTATCATGGTGTGAATTTGTAAATATAAGATTTAGTTATTGGAAAGAAGAAGAGGAAGAGTTAAAGGAAGAGGAAGAGGAAGAGGGGATTTTAGTTTGACCAGGAAGAGAGGCAAAGAGGCTGGCAGCGGGCTGGCCAAGTTTATTCAGCGTGCTGTGCTGGTCTAGAGTTTAACATTGTATCGTATCGGATCTATCGTATTGTATATCGCATTGTATCGTATCGGATACAGAGGTGGGTAAAGTGGTGGAGGGTGTATGGTGGGGTGAGGGGGTGGAGGGGGGGGCAAAAAGTAAGCCCGCGCGTCCTCCTGGTTACCTGCTCGGTTCCCTGACTGGTAGCCTCTGTGCTGTATGCTGTATAGTAGTAACTCTGTAAGTCCGTAAGTCCGTAAGTCCATTCGTGTAGCCATGAGGTCTGGCTCCAAGTAGGGGCCTCTGATCATACAAACCTCGAAAGGCCCCTCACAGTAAGGGCCCACAGGCCATCCAGTTCACTTCTTCTTCGCCTACTTTTACAAATTACTCCCATTTTCACCGGCATTTTAAAACTACACCACTAAATTTTAATCACAGTTATTCCTGATTAATAATTAATTTAAAAATAAAAAAAAAAAATAATTAAATTAAATAAAAAAAGTTTTATTTTTAAAAAGTAAAAGAAGAGCAAGTGGAAATATCCAGTAAATAATTAATCACAAATTAATTACCAAGGAATTGTTTATAAATCATCATCTTCTCACCGGGCTGATATAAATACAGTCGTTATCATCATCATCATCATCATCATCATCATCATTATTAATATTAATTTTTTGGTCTGTCAACTTGTTTAAAAACTCAACACAGTGATTTATATAAATAATAATTATAAACAACAAAAGTGATGACCAGTGTAATAAATAATAAAAGTTATTAATTTGAGTGAATAAAACTAAACTGTGGAGAAAATATAAATAAATATTGTCAATGAGGATTCAGAGAGTAGGAGTATTTAATGAAAAATCGGCAGTTATCATCAGTGCCGATTTATTTAGGACCTCTTCCTGATCGCGGATCTTCGCGCGGTCGATCGGTGTGATAGATACGGCCAGCGAAATTTATTTAGAGTGTTATAATCAACGGAAACCTGCGACCAGGAAGAGGAGGATAATCACTAGACGAAAAAAAAAAAAAGAAAAAGGTGGCGAACGTGATTTATCATTATATTAGTTTTTGTTGATTATTATTATTATCATCATCTAATTTTATTTAATAATATTAATAATAATAATAATAATAATAATAATAATGATAATTATTGTTATATTTTAATAGTCAATAAAGTTAATAGTTAAGTTTATGTGGTGGACTATATACTATCTGAGGACCTGTATTATAGTGACTTTTTTTAAAAATACAATAAAATATATAAAAAGCCCAATAGGATTATTTTAGGCAAATTATCAAGTGATATATATATATATATTATTAATAATAATTCTCGGGTGACAGTGTCTCATTCAGTGGATAAATTCGTCGTAAGGGGAGGTCCCGCGGGCAACAACAATACCACTCTGGATACCACGCTGCTCCTATGTAAGTTTTATTAATAATCAAGTATTTGGTGATTAAAAATTTAAGGGTTTTAATTAAAAAATACGAAAAATATGAAAAAATAAAAATAAGGATAAGCTTTTAAGGTATTAAACGCGTAATGTTAATACTGCCACTAGTATTGGTTCGATCCTTTCATTGGTATTTAATTCCTGATGATGATGATGATGATGATGATGATGATGATGATGATGATGATGATGATATGTGAATGTGTGTCTGAGCGTGTAGTGTCCCGCGAACGCGGTGCCTCGAGAGTAGGTCAGTGTACCACATTAACCGGTGTGCCAGAGAAGGGGAGAGAAAAGGGGGCTTCCGACTAGTCAGTTCCGCAAGTTACTATAGCTGTATACAATATAAATATATACAGCCTCCTGCACGATCGACGACCACCGCAAAACCTGATTCCAACCAGAGCAATCCTTTTCCCACCATATATACCTATACATAGCTTTTATTTCTTTTTAATTTATCATTATTGTCTCTTTGTTTCGACTATTTATTTTTTTTTTAATCATTGATCTGTTATATAAAATGAAAAAAATGAAAAAAATGAAAATTAAATATTAATTTATAATATAAGTAAAGCAATAATGATTAAAAGACTGTAAACTTGGTTGAAAGTTGCCAAAGGCCAAGGTTAATTATTCCCAACTGTTAGTTTGTATTATCTATAATAACAATAACTCTTTCCTTTTTTCACGCACAACATTTCCTGGTTTCTTCTACTCATCATCATCAGATACATCGGTATATATACAATCTACATATTATGATTATGATATATACAACCATCAAGGATACATATGCCTTTTAACCTTTACCTCGATCTAAGTGGTGTCGCACTTTCTCCGTTGACCAAGCCATACCAGGTCACATCCCCCTCTACAGTAAACTTTTTTTTTTTTTTTTTTTTTTTTTTTTTTTTAATTCTTCATTTAACTTGTAAAAACAAAAAAACAAGATTCTTTCTCTTTATATTATTATAAAATTTTAACAACAGTCGTAAAAAATTTTAACGCATATATGGGTTTAATTGTTACTGGGTTCTGAAATATACGACGAATTTTTTTTCCGACGGTTTGTCATCGTAACGAGTACACATGTGTAAATGAGGAAGTAATGTATGTTTTATGATGCTGTTGGCGAAGAAAGGAGGACAGCAGCAGCAAAAGCAGCAAAAGCCAAATAGCACCCATATACTTTTTTTTTTACATTTATTCAACTAAAACACACTATTAACATTCTCATTAGCTAAATTTATTTATATCAACAAACAAACTGATTTTAAATATTATATAGCTATAAATATAGCAAGTCTGTGCGTAATGTATATACATTGTCTGTGCAATTTATCTGGCATTAAACTCACCGCACATTACACGCGTTGAAATTTCTTTTTTCTTACTTCAGCCCACATATATACTCATCATAATTTTTCTATCGTTTTATTTTGTTGATTAAATAAAATTTAATACCAGCACTATACACGGAAATTATTTTACGGATAATACCCTCATTTTTTTAAGGAAAAAAAAAAAAAAATAATAAAAATAAGTTATATCGTTCTCAATATCATTGAGTATAAATAAATATATAAGTATATAATATGGGAAAGTTGTCGAATACGATGACCGAAATATCAGTAGCAGTAACAGACACCTGCGTTTACAATCTTCTTTATATTTTATTATACTGTAACCAAATGTTAATAATCGATACATCCTCTTTGATGTATTATTCATTTACTGTCGCATTTTTATATCAATAATATCTATAATATCATCATTTTTATATATTTATATTTATTTAGTAGATATTAGAAATAATTAGAATAAAATTGGAGATAAATAAATCATCAAGTAATGATAAAAAATTATATGATAGTTAAATTTTATGGTCCGTGTTGAGACATCTGGACAATAAATAAAGTAAATTATTGCCAACAGATGTAGGTTGATGAGTAGGTTATATTTTATATGTATTCCATATAGTTGTCAATTCGCACGCGCTATTTTCCACAATGAAAAGGAAAGCAAACTCCATACATTCGAAAAAATTCTGAATGTGTGTGTGTGTGTGTATATAATTTTATATACATATATAAATTTGACAAGTATAAGCTTGGATGAACTACAGTAGTGGAGAAGCTATTGGCTGTCGGCGGGTTAACGGTACTCTGTTCTACTTATCGTTGAGTTGAGCTAAGCCGGCGATTCTCTCATACAAATACATACGTACTTATTATTATTATTATTATTATTATTATATACAGCCTGCATCACGTCTGCGGACAGACCAGAACCATGACGCACGTGTGCTTAAAATCAACCATACACACTCACGCGAAACTTATCACACGTGTGCATATATATATATATATATATATATATATATATATATATAATACAATTAAAATTAACACTGTGTACATCATATAACATAGAATAACAATCAGCATGCCACCAGAGCTGGTGTTATATGCTGTTTTTGTTTTTGTTTTTTTCATTTGAAATATACCTTTAATATGTTATGCCTCTTGATATTATTATTTTATAAATTTTATTTTACTGTCATACACCGTAAAATCTGATGATTCTAATAATAATGATAATAATAATAATAATAATAATAATAATAATAATGACAAGTACTTGGATATTGTACAGTACGGGATATTGAGTTGGTTACAGTACACAAAAGATGATCTGCTTGATGGAATGCTGAGTCACTTTCCTCTCGTTAAAGTGGGTCACCTGTAGAAACTATATATGTATATGTATAAAGGATTATTCTGATGATAATTATTATCTGTAATAAGTTATTTATTTATATTAGGCACAAGTGAGCTTTTTGAAAATAAATAACTCTTTATACCGAATTTTGAATTATAATATCAATAATTGATCCTGATTGTTGATAGTGTATATTCCGTTTATTCCGTGTATAGTACCTAGTAATCCCATTGATAAGTAGCTCACCATTGTCGTAGGCCGGATTAAAATAATAGTAAACTCCTTTCTCTCTTTATCTCTGACAAAACGGAGCAAGCTAAAGATTGTTAATGTACCGACGCCACTGTGTATGTAATATATATATATGTGTGTTGATGTCCTGGTGTGCTCGTGTGCTGGATAACGGTACAATCGAGTCACGTCACGGCTCTACAATCTCTCCCGCCACTATTTTTAACGCCGCCACCGCTTATTTGCCATTCCTGTACTTATACTGGTTAGGTTGAGCTCTCAACTTTACGAGGAATAAAAGCATCGACAAGGACGCACTCTAACACTGTAACCCAACTATATATAACTATATATAACGACAAGGACGGTGACCTGAGGGAAGGTTGTACTCAAATAACAACTCACTACCACTACTACCGTATTTTCTTCCTTTTCTCATCCTTATTTCAATTATTCCAATTGCTAAATTATCCTTATTTTTATTTTATTTAAATAATTAGTAGTTTACTAAATTTTATCGTATAATAATAATAATAATAATAATAATAATAATAAAATATATATACACACATTCATATTACATATAGAAGAATTTAACCGTGTAGTGACTACGGGTAGTGTGCCACTAACCTAGTTAGTTGGAGCAAGCCTTTTTTTTTTTCTTTAAATTTTTTATTTTATTTTTCTTTTTCTCTGACGTATGAGGAAGAGAAAGAGATGAGTCGCTTGGTGTTAGCACCTAACTATAGATGCTGTATATATATAAATCATCGCATTGTTATTATTATTATTATTATTTGCTGGTAATCAATCTTTATTAGTATTTAACACATATTAATGTGATAGTTGGCAATGAGATTTAAATAAATATTGAAAATTTTAAATGTTACAGGTCCCCGCGGCGCCGTTGGCGGTTGCAACACCCCCGGCAGTAGAGTGGATCCCTGGTGGAATCCTGGTTCCCTCTTCCCAACTGTCTCAACACCAGGACCACCTAAAATTGACGAGGGACCTACGGGAATAATAAATCAACATCAACAGTACTGTGGTCAGCAGCAACAGCAGCAGCAGCAGCAGCAGCAACAACAACACCAACACCAACACCAACAACAGCAACAGCAACAGCAACAACAACAACTACAACAACAAAATAATAATAGTAATACGTCCAGCCCTATTTTAACGTATTCATTTTTATCATCAACTATTCAACAACAACAACAACAACACTCTTATGATCAGTTGAACAACAATAACGATAATCAAGAAATAAATAAAAATTTGTGCTCATCATTAAATATTGTTTCTGGAACAACGAGTCCACCGATATTATCTTCGTCACCGTCATCGTCGTCGTCAACATCGTCAATATTATCCTCGGTATCATTATTAACGTCAAGCTTCTGCCAAATAGATTCATTGACAAATCACTCAAATAGGTGTACCTCAGATGTTTTAAGACTACCAACTACCCAAAGTACCTGTAATAATTTATACGGCACTAACGCTACGAATTTATCTTTAAAACAAACAGATAACGTTCTATCCACACTGCTTGCCCCAAAATCATCAGATTCCTCGAATATTACGCGAGGAATCAATCACCACCATAACCATAGTCATAGTCATAATCATAATCATAATCATAATCATAATCATAATCATAATCAATCTGGTAGTGTTGGTGCTACTGCTGGGAGTAATCGAACAGTATTATCATCTTTATTAACAGCAGCAGCAGCCGCAGCCGCAGCAGCAGTAGCCGCTGAAGTAGTAACAACAGCTACTTCATTAACAACAACCACAACAACAGCAGCAACAACTATTACACCAGGTTCACCAATTGCTATTTCAACTTCAAATTCATCAATAACAACAACAACAACAACAACAACAACAACGAATAATTTAGACTATGCGACCGATTCGACTGCCTCAACATCTATTGCTAGTATTATAAGAAATTCAAGTGAAAATACATTAGATACGACAACAACAACAACAACAACAACAACAACGACAGCAAAACCAACATTGTCTTCACCAACCTCATCAACTTGTTCACGAGATTCATTAACGGGTATTCTTTCGTCACTTAATGTAAGAATTAAATCGGAACCAACACCTCAAGGAAATAATAGCAATCATAATATTAATAATGAAACGATAGATGATTTAAATAATTCGACACAATCAGGATATTGTACATCACTATTGAGTTCTTTACTCTCAACATCAAGAATATCATCAAATACATCCGATGCAATAAATAACAATATTCACAATAACAATAATAATCAAGATAGTAATAATATTAAAGTTGAATATTCGTTAAATGTACCATCACCTCAAGGTAATGTTTTACAAGTTACTGAAGAAAATTTAACAGCTACATCACCTTACGATATAATAAGCACCAGTGGTCAATCGCTTCATAATAATAATAATCATCATCACCATCACCACCACCACCACCATCATCATCATCTTGATCATCAAAAAAACGGTGATAAAAACCACACTAATATTGGGATTGTAACTCCATCAGTGATATCAGCAACTGATATAGGCGCTCTCGATATGAAGTATGAGACTCAATCAGTTCCAGGCTCTGGTGGACCACATTTAACGGGATCAACAGGTATTGAACCACCTCACAGTAGCAGTCAATCGAGTGGACTTGTTGTTGTAGGAGGAGGTTCACCATCTGAAGTAGTTGGTGTTGACAGCCTTTTATTGCCATGGACAACCAGTGGTCCCGATTTTCTTGAACCGTCGGATGTTAAACAAACAACAACTGGTTCTATTCAAGATACTTGGGATACACTTTTACTGGGATCATCAGTGGGTGTCACTTCTGCCCATTCATTGGCTGAATTGAAACCATTACCACCATTTACTGGTTATACTGGACATTTGAGTATTAATGGAATACCTGGACATCATTATCACACGATAGCGTCATCGGCACACAGACCAACTATACAATCATCATCTTCACCTACACCATCTTCTAATCACGAGTACTATGAATCCTCAGTTGTATCATCCAGTACACCCTGTCCACAGTCAACTCAAAAATCAAATCAACAATCGCATCAGTTACCCCAATCAACAACTCAACAAGTTGATTATGATATTGAAGACATTGCTGAAATAATAGGTTCTGCTATTGCAGATACAACCGTACCCGGTGGTGGTAGTGGTGGTAGTGGTGGTGGAAATGGTGATAATAATAATAGTGGTGTTGTTGGTGGTAGTGGTGGTGGTGCTGGTGTTGGTGGTGCTGGTGGTAATAGTGGAGGTAATGGACCTGGCTCGGAAAATGATCCTGATAATTCGAGAGATTGGATTGATATTGCCGAATGGATTGATACTGCTTGCTCACCAAAAACCCACGAAACCTCGTCACCAAATCCCTACTCACAAATATACGCCTCACAAACAAATCATCAGCCTAATCATAATCATAATCATAATCATAATCATAATCATAACCATAACCATAATCATAATCACAATCACAGTCATAATCAGCATGGATCAACCTTACAAAGTTTATTAACGACAACGAGTTATGCACCTTTACTTCAAGCAAGACTTCAAGCTGGTAATAATACGGGTCTACAAAATCCATCATGTGGTGAAACACCCTCCTCGACAAGTCCATATCCACCAGTTAGTCCACCTGGTAGAGTATCAACCTCCTGTAGTCCAGATCATTTGCTACATTCTTCGTTTGCTGCACCATCTCACACGCGAAAACGATCACGTCCATCATCAGCTGGTAATCAAAATCCTTCGAAAAAAAATCCAGCTACTGCAGCATTACCGTACGGTACCGAATCAAGTCTTATTGGTGGTAAAGAAAAACCCGTTCACCGATGTTCTATTTGTAATCGAGGATTTCTTAATAAAAGCAATATAAAGGTCCATTTGAGAACCCATACAGGTGAAAAACCATTTAGGTGTGAAGTTTGTGGAAAAGCTTTTCGACAAAAAGCTCACCTTATTAAACATCAACAAATTCATAAAAGAATCGGTAGGGATTAGAAATTATTATTTATTATTTTCTTTTATTTTTTTTTTTTTTTTTGTCAACAGTTATTTAGTGTCGACAATTATCCAGATCATACATATATCAAGATAATAATAATAACAACAAACAAATAATCATTATTTGGTAATGAAATTTACTAAAAAAAGAGCTAAGATATTCATTGAATGAATATTATTATTATTATTATTATTATTATTATTATTATTATTATTATTATTATTATGAGTATGTGTGAAATAAAATAAATCAAGGTATGAAACCTTGCTTAAGAAGAACTTTAAATATTTTTTCATCAATAAAGCACCAGTGCAAATAAAATGTACTTACGGCCGTGTAAAATTTAATATTTAACGGTGATGATATAATATAGAAACAAAAATAAAATATATTTATAAATACAGTGTTGTTTTTGGAATAAAATTCTAATTGGTGTAACTTTAGCGCCATGTATATATAATATAATGACACTTTTATATATTTATTATAGATAATAAAATACTTAATTTTTGATATTGTATGTAATTTTAAATAATTATGGGTCGGTATCTCTTGCTAATGAGCATGGTACTATTTTATTTATAATTATATATATGGATAAAAGTCACTTGCGTGTGGCTAAATAAGAGTAGAGACATTACATTTAATAAAATGTACGACGAGACAATAATAAGCAAAGCGCGACCTATTGTGATCGTGCTACAACGTACCTATTAATTTATATACATATATGTATGTTACTATACATTTAAATATATATAATAAATATTATCAAGTCCTTCCGTCATAAAAACTATTGTAATACTTTTCTCATCTTCATTCATACATTTATTTATTTATTTTGCTTCATTTGTTAATTTTTATTATTATCATCTCTTTATTTTCATTCTCTTACTCTACTACTATTGATACGTACTAATATTGTTATTATTATTATTATTATTATTATTATTATTATTATTATTGTTCTTCTTTCATGCTTTATTTGCTTTTTGATCTGTATAAATTTTTCTTTTATTTTTAATATTTTTTTTTTGTGACAGTACAATAATAATTAATATTATATACGAACTTGTGTAAAGTTGATAAATTTTATATCAATTAATAAATTATTATTTTATTTAGTTTTATATATAAATTGTCGAACAAGTTATTAATTAATATAAGCATATACGTCGCATCGATGTCTTCTTTATTTGTCACTTTTTATTTATTTTAATTTTTAATTTATTACTATGAATTTTCTGTTATATTAACTTTCTCTTAAATTTCTCGTTATTTATGTTAAATTATTTATTAGTTTAAGCTTCATGGATAATATAAGAGAAAAAAAAAAAAAATGATTGAAAAAGTACAGAGATGCATACGTAAGCATGATGAAAATTAATAATGAAATGAAGGCTGTGTTCTCTCCTTTCGCACAAGGATGATCCACAGATCTCAAAAAAAATATTTTAATTAAAAAAATCCCACTGATAAGGGTATCTCTTTCATTTTATTTTTCTTCCTTCTACAACTGTTACTATCTTTTTTTTTTTTTTACTCGATATTCAGCACACATCAGTTTCGTGATTATCATAATAATCATTTTTTTTTTCACAATTTAAACTTTTAGTTTTTAAAACTATATCGAATTAATTATACAATCTATCAAATTTTGTAAATTTAATGACAGTTTTGAATAATTAAATAAATAAAATATCAGAAAAAAAATAATAAGATGATATTTGTGTGTGATAACAGTCGATGACTTACTTGGTACCTAGCGTAGCTGGCTACGCAAATTTTTGTATCTAGATTATATAAAGAAATGTAAAAATATCAATACCAGCTAATGATGATAATGATGGTGATTATTATTATTATTATTATTATTATTATTATTATTATAGATAATAATCATAATAAGATGAAAATGGTAAAAATTACGAAACAATGTCTCTAAGTAAATATAATAATAATAATAATAATAATAATAATAATAATAATAATAATAATAATAATAATAATAATAATAAACAAAAGTAACACTCATAATTTTAAATTTAATCTTAATAACATTAATAATAATAATAATAATAATAATAATAATAATAATAATAAAAACCATAAGAGTAATATAAAAAGTGTAATGAATGGCAGTATTGTATCTATATTTAATATATTTAATTATACTGAATTAGTGTAAACAATCTATTTTTAAATATTTCTTTTATAAAAATAATTATTAATCATAGTCATAATAAAACGTATAAACAGTTAAGTTGCTTAAATAAGATTAAAAAAATACATAATATTTTGTTGTTGACAATTATTTCACTATTTTATTTTAATTTACTTGTTACTATTTTTTTTATTATACAACAATGTCTGTTAACTATTATTTTATCAGTTATTCTTTCATTCTATCCCTCTATTACAATATTATTACCATCATTTGGTTTTATCGATATTTATAAATATTAAAAATATAATAATAATAATAATAATAATAATAACAAGTTAAATAGGTGACAAAGGTGCAACTTGTTTTCTCAAGTTACTTCTCTTTAAAAGTCTCCTTCTCTTTGTGCCCCTTTATAATATTATACGCACGGCCCACGTAGGTCAGTGACCCGATTATTTTGATTTTTTTTTTTTTTTCTTATTATTTATAACATATTTTTGGGAATTATATAAATACGGTGGAATGAATAGCCTTGAGTATTTTCATTATGACTAGTTGAAAAAAAAATTTCTTTACCAATAAATAATTTTCTAAAGTAAAAAAGTTTGTGTTTAAATGTGTTAGTACAGATGAAAGAATTATGAATGTGAGTGTTTGTGTAGTGGTAGCATAGTTCCCGAAGAAAGTCTTTCACTTTGGTGTGCAAGCCAGGGGAACAGAGCGAATAGAGCGAACAGAGCATAAGGCAAACCACAAACCAGTTGTGATCGCGTGAATATCCATGGATAGGAGGAGAAAAAGGCTAAGGAAGTAGAGGTGGTAGTGATACTGATGGTGATGGTGGAGGATGTAATCAAGTTCAGCAGGAGAAAAGAGTAAAGCGGACCAAGCAAGCAAGCCATGGTACCAGGCACCGATCTGTTCTACTTACATGGCACACTTACAGCTAACACTTTGTATCGATTAAGGATCCTAAAGAACAGATGCAGTCTATTCTATCACACTATCCCCAACATGATCATCATTGATGATGCTGTTGCTGCTGCTGCTGCTGCTGCTATCTCTGCCAGCCCTCTTCTATACTGACATTCATAATCAAATTTTTATCTTCTCATTTATATTTTACTAATTATTTTCTTTTTTATGCATATGCCTATCACACTATTGAAAAATTAAAAAAAAATATCCTGTTTTTTTTTTTATTTTTAATAAAATACCTTCCATGTATAAAGTAGTAACGAGCAACACATAAATATAAAATATAATTAATAATAATTAATGGTAAGTAAAAATGTTTATATTAGATTGGTATTGAACCCTTTAAATTATATAGTGAGTTATTATAATAACTGAATAACTATTAAAATAACTATGTAATGTATATGATTGTTCCATAAGTCCATTTATAGTTATTAAAGATTATTAAGGTCAAGTTTGTTACATACAGCATACAGGTGTAACTATCTAACAAACTCTATTCGATTTTTCTAATAGATAAATAAATACTTTTCAATCAAGGGCATTTCAGTATTGTGTCAATAAACTTGATAAATCAAATTAAATATATATATATATTTTTTTTTAATCCGTGTATTGAACTATTATCGAGTTCGATTTCTCTTATTGCCAACAATAAAATTATTCACGGTGTACGTGATTATATTGAAAATTAAAACTACTTTACAAGCATTTTAATTTCTATTTGAATCACGTAATATAGATATAAACATTTTATTAAATTGCGTACACTTGTACTGAACAGGTACTTTTTAAGGTAAAGCCCTTTACCCGGAAGTATAGTCATTATTATTATTCTTTTTTACTATTATGAATTATTTGGACACTAAATGTGTATAATATCCTTGTATATTTATATGTATATATATTTTTTTTTTCAAATTAATTTGGATGTATTTGTTAGTGTATGTGTGTAAGTTGTAGGACCTTGTTTCGTGACCTACATGTTGTACCAAGGCCGTTATACTCATGATGATTATGATGATAATGGTGATAATATTATTGATATATAAATTATTAAAAAAAAAAAAAAAAAAAAAAAAAAAAAAAGTGTGTATTAACTATATTTTCAAGTTTTTACTATGCTGCATCTTATTAATTATCTTAATTTTAGAATTAAAGTTTAAAAATTTCTAATTTTTGGATAGACAAAAAATAAATAATATTAATAATTATTGTTGGAAATAATGTTCCTCATTGATATATATATATATAGCGAGCGCGAGTAGATATTAAGCACGCATAAATATATAGATATATAACGTAGGCGAATTTAGTATTTAATTTTAAGTTGACATCCTACCTTGATCTTGACTTGTTCTCGTCCTCGTTACTCTTGGCCTTGATATTTTATGATATTATACCATAGGTAGATATTTCTGTTGGATTTAGTTGTACATAATACATCATCTTCATCTTCCTGTATTAAATTGCTTCATTACATACACTTAACTTTTATCACAAATACTCGTCGTTGCAAGATTGCACATATTTCTTTAGATAATCTTTTAATATGATAATTAAAATTTTCTCACAAAACATATGAAAACATAAATTGATTTTTCTAAATTTTTTCCAGCGTTAAACTCTTTTCTTGGTACAACTTATATATATGCTAATTATAGTATATTAAAGTGATTCCAATATATACATAAATGAAAAATTCATATTTATTTTCATTAATTAAAGTCTAATTATATTTGATGATTGATAAGTGAACTATAAATTTTTTAATTCCTACTGATCCTTTAACCGAAAAATTATAATTATTATAATTACTGCATTTACAATGCCCATAATAAATATAAATGATTACTGGTTTTTCGAATGTTTGATAGAGCGCCATCTATTGCTCAGAATAAATACTTTTTTACTGTTTTACCGCGTCAGTAGATGACACATTGACACCGTTTAAATTACAACTGACGTTTCACCAAATTTGAATTAATAAATAAATAAATTATTTTTAAAATTATCTTTTTTTATTATTTCTACATGAGGATTTTTTTTTTGTTATAAAATTCTAAAAAATTATCAAATGTTTTTCAGTTTCAACAAAATTAAAATAATATTATTTATGATATCTAAAGTTATAATGTGAAAAGTAGTAAAATTTCTAAAAATGTTTATTAAAGTATACCTATATAAAAATATCACGATTGATTATTTAATAATTGATATTTATTTTTACTTTTGACTTTTTGATTTAAAATAGTACAAACATATATATTTTATAAAAAAAATAATAATCGGTAAAAATAAAATTATGAAATAAATTATTATTACTATTATTATTACATCCATCATGATAATAATAATAATAATAATAATAATAATAGTAATAATAATGTATGTTGATACATTTAAAAAATTTTTCATCTAAATTTAAAAAAAAAATTAATTTTAAAACAATAAAAATAGTCACTATTATTTAAATAATAATACTAATATATAAATGACACATTAAAAATGTGTAATATTTTTTTTTAGTAAACGTATATTACTATTATTTTTAGCCGTATGCAAAGAGAGCTTATTACGTATTATTATTACATGATATTTTTTTTTAATAAATTGAATGTTAAAATTGAAATAAATTTCATAATGAATATACTAACAATAAATTTAACAAATTTTTATAACAAATAACAATTTTGTTCCGTTTTAATAGCTTATTTAATTTTTATACTTTTTTTATTATTGCTGATACTCAGTGAGTATTCTCTTGTTATTTTCTTTCTCTACAGAGATCAAATATCTTGTGATACACATAACACGTATATAGTATATAGCTATCATAGTAATAATAACAATTATTATTATTAAAATATATATATAAGCAATTTGCATATTGAGAAAGCTTTTATTATTAATTAAATATATATATATAGTTTTTTTTTTTTTTTTTTTTTTGACAATTCCACCAGTACACGCAGTGATTTTAATGGACTAGTTAACAAAACAGAAAATTATTTAAATAATTAAAAAAAAAAAATGGTTATAAAAAAAAGTATTGATAAACAAAAGTAATGAATTATTTAAACTTTAAACTTTAACTCCTTGTTTAGCGAGTAATTGCTTTCGTTGATCAAGACTGGGAGATGATTCGTTGTCATAATTTATCGGTGTTTTAATTCCATCAAATGATTTGGTATGTCTAAATGTATTCAATGCTTTAAGACAATTATTTTTTGATAAATCAATAGATTTAGAATTTTTAAGTGATGCGTTTGCTAGTTTTTTGATAGTTTCAGATATTGGACAAGTTATATAATCAACTATTTCCCTATTACCATTATTATCTTTGTGTTTTAAAATAGAGTCTTGAATAATTTTATTACAATTATTTATCATTTTATTAGTGATATTTTCATCTGATCGAGTATTATCATTTAATAATAATTGTGATGGTTCATTAGCTTGATTAGATGATAAATAATAATTTTTATCTGATTGAATATTATTTTTTTTTGATAAATCATTGTTACTATCAATAAATTTATCTGATGAAGAATCGTTATTTATATCTAAAAGAGCCTTTGGTGGTGCTTCAACATATCCACTTTCATCACTATCAGCTTCTTCTTCGTCTAAAGAATCAAGAGTAATAAAAGATGTTTTTTTAGGAGTTGTTGTTATTTTTTTAAATAATTTATCTGTTTGATCATTATCATCAACAGCAACAACTAAAACATTAGGATTAGTTGAATATAATTCGTCTGGTGGTGTTGTTGGCGGTATGATTGTTTCTGGTGAAGCTGCTTTCACTTCCATCCTCCTTCCGGTTTTAGTATTTTCCAATCCACCAGCAGAACTTTCTCCACCATGGGGTCTGTAGTCGACGACCTGAATATAATCCAAACACATATTACTAAATGTCAGTGTAAATATTTTTAAATAAAAATAAAAATATTTTAATGGACAAAAATTTATTTTTAAACTAACACTTATCTATTATTTAATTAAATATGGATAATATACCTCATTAAATACTTGGTTATCTTCAAATTCAAATACCGGATTAGAAGACTGATTAATTGTTTTGCTTTTTTGATTATCTTCTGGCATTAAATCATCACCGTCTTCAACAATAATCGATGAGTAAACTTTTCTGTTACCAATAGTTCTACCACAATTAATAAACCTTTTATTTCCTACTGAACAACCGATTAAACTAGAGGACGACAAGGAAGAACACGGAGAAGAAGTTGAACAACAATTAGAAGAAGAAGAAGAAGAAGAAGAAGATGATGATGATGATGATGATGTTGATGATGATGATGAACATAATGATGATGAACAAAATTCATTGTCTGATTTTACATCGTTATTGGAAGGAGCTGATGATTGTATTATATGATCTTCAGGATCAGAATCGGTAAATAATACTCTTCTTCTATTAAAAATTCTAGAAATCCCAGATCGTGATTCGGGGTCAACAATCCCATTATTGGGATCATCAATACCAAGAGCTCTCTCTTCGCTGTTTGACGTACTTGCTGTCTCACATCCGCTTGATATACTTGCATTTTCGTCCAAATATTCGCTTGAGGCGCCGGCACGATTCAAAGCATCAACCAGTCGTGCCAATCGCCAACCATCCTGGTCTTCCCAACAACGTGCTACATTCTCCAATGACCTACAGAAAGAATATTATTTTAAAAAATCCCTTTACTTTAAATAATATATATATATACATGTATAAGAAGAGTAAAAATACCTCAATTCTTCAAGTAATCGCTTCTGCTCAATTTCTTCAGCAACCGAGTCTTCTTCGATGGCTGATAATTTTGGAGCGCTTTTAGATCTTTCAAGAGGCGGCCTGTAGTTTTGTCCACCTGTACTCAGTAATATTTTTCTACGTGGAAGTGAGGGATTTTCATAAACTGAATTTGCCAACGAGAGCCTTAAAATTAAATAAATAAAATCAAATAAAATGAAATAAATAAATAAATAAATAAATGATAATGAAAATTATTTAAAAATTACCTAGCATTTTGCCGTGAAACTTTGTCTCGACGAAATTCAATTAATGCTTGATGTAGTCGTGTGTTTAATATCGATGCAAGTCTTTTTGCAGTGGATTCTTTGGAGCAGAGGACTGCATGACATCTCAATTCAGGCCTGAGTCGTCGCCCTTCGTGCTTATAAATCCATACAAAGAGTCTGGGGTGTGATACAGGAGCGGCACAATAAGTAACGCGATGGGCCCAATATTCGGTTAATCCATGATCCTTAGTAGTCGCCGTCAAACCACCATTTGTAACTGTTAGTCTCATCGTAACGTCTGGCCTGTTACTACTGACGTAATTACGCCACAACGTTGAAATAGGCTTTTCAACGCAGCCCTCACCTAATTTTAAACAAAATAAACTATGTATCAATGGTTTTAATTTTTAATATTTTTAATATTTGTCATTTAATAATAAACTTTCCATTATCAGTACATTGCTCTCTATAATAATATTTATCTTGTATTTTACTACTCTCTGTTGTACACTACACTGATCCATTTAAATAGACTTATTATTTATACAATCACCGCCTCTTAAATATTTTCTCTATTTATTATTGAGGCATTATTAATAAATAAAAACTACTTTACGAGAAATTATATAGAGTATAGGAAAGAAAAAAATAATATAAAAATCATTGAATGTTTTGAGATATCGAGAAAAATCGGAAGTATACGGATTATTATATTTTATTTTCACCTGGATATTCAGTAGACCGGATACACCGACATAGACAAGAGAGAAAGGTTCACTCAACCGACACTACGCTAAAATATCTTACTTTTATTATCAAAATTATTTAAAATAAATAAATCGTTAATATAATAACATTATAATAGAAATAAAAAATCAAGTTTTTAAAAGCTCTAACGATAATTATATATATATATATATATATATATATATATATATATATATATATATATTATAA